AGCTCACCTCGCGCGCCGTTTGTTTGTAAGACGTCTACCCTCTTTCCGCTTTACCCGGTGGCCCAGAGCTTGACACGGTGCCGAGGATTCGAAAGCACAATGGAACACTTTGCAGCTGACCTCGCAGCCACCACCCAAAGCTGGACCGTTGAGCGCTGCTACCACCGTCTTGGGCGAGGCATCGATCGTGTCCTTGGCTAGGGGACGTCCCTCAAGCACACCCTCTGTGGGCAGAAGCTGATCTTGCCGCAACTGCCAACCTCCCGCATGGGAAGGTCGGCCAATCAACCGTGCGTCCATCATCTCGCTCAGGGCCGCCACGGGGTTGTTCTTCCTGCAGCCGCGTGCCGCTCAAGCAGCAAGCGCCAGACGCAAGCAGGTCTGCTGCTTTCACCCCAAGCACGAAGCAGTGGAGGGCCTCATCTCGGCCTCACCCATTGCCACCATCATGGCAAACCTGATGGCTTCCACAATCGACACCGCTTCTCCGCAACAAGGAAACTGCGCCGTCTTCAGCGGCTTGCAATCCTAGTGGTTGAAGGCACGCAATTGTTCCCTAGACGTTTCGCAATCTTCGCCACTCGCCTCAACATGCAAATGAAGAACAACATTTCGCTTGATTCTTGCTATGCATGTCCAATTGCCGCTTCAAGCAACTCGGTGATCTCAGCACCTAGGACGGACCATGGTGATGCTAGCGAGACATGGGGAGCTATCTATCTGTGGCTTTCTCATTCGGGCCCTATCTGGCACCTGTCAAAAAGGCCTAGCTACATGCCAGCCGGTGCGATCCCACACAAAGAGGATAGCTTCATCGCTTGACGGGGCACCCAAATGCATCTGTTGGAGTGGCAAACCTCGACAAGCCAAGACTCCACCCGAGAACATCGAGCCGCTGCCGGTAACCACGATAGCTTTGACCTGCATGACACGATACGGCTCGAGACCGATAGCTTCGCTGGTGCGCGCTATCGTGTTCCGTTGCAATCAGCACTTCACCTCTTCAGTGGACGCGAGGCTGCGACGCTACAGATTCTAACCTCGCGTCTGAATCTTCGGCGACAAGCCCATCATCCACTGCAAACCCAGCCGGGCCTTTGGATCTTGGACGAGTTTCGGGAACTCCTGCCTGGGCTGCGATTGGCAAACATCCCATTGCTTCGTCACCACTTCTGGAGCAGGGTGGAGTAGGGGTGAGTGCAGCGGGAGCTGAGTAGCTGCTTTTCCCACTCCACCAGAACAAGACAAAGCGCTTGAACGAGGTCACCAAGCTCGTGCCAAGCGAGTTCACCGGCGGGCTGTTCATAGTCAGCACGCCGACTCCATCCTGTGGCAAACGCAATCAGAATGGCAAGTCTCAAAGCTGTTTATGCTTCGAAACACCACGCTCCGGACCGCTTGCCCAATTCTCACCAAGCAGCTGGACGGACGGCAATGGAGGCCGACATGAGGAGTGCTGAGCGAAGGCTGGAACAAGAGCGTGTTTCTCTCGAGCAGGCTGAAGCCCAGGTGAACAAACGAGTGGCGAATTTAGTTGGCATGCGAAGTTTGCCACACCGATCAATAGACAGGGAGGACTCAACAGTTTAGGTGCCGGCTTTTGCTGAATGTCCAACCACTTCAAGTCTCCAGACTCGATAAATCCATCGCCTGGCGTGGACATAAACAGACGCTTCGACTTGGGCTGAGTGAACATGGGTGGATGCAAGCCTCCAAGGTCAACTGCATCAAAAAGGAGGAGCTCGTAACCGCCTCATCACTTTTGAGACCGATCTACTGCAGGCGCTCCTGTCAAGAAACTGCCGTGTGTGCGCGTGTGTGGCGCGCAGATGTCCTTATGCTCCGGAGTAAATTATTTCCGCTTGGGCTGCACATTGGCCACGGCGGAGGTTGCAGCATCATGTCTCCATGTCCGTTAGGGTCAACATCAAGGTGAAAAGACATTCAGCGCACAAGCCACTGCGCAACTACACAACGCTATTGTATGCAAGGGTGCGCTGTGTTCGAGCAGTTGGAAATGCCGTGTTGATTTGGCTCTTGCGACTTACCCAAACTCTTGAAATTTACGGAGTTGCCCTGCTGTCAGACAGAAGCCTGATGTGTGTTGCGAAGTTCTGTTTGCAGTATATCACCCGTCGATCCAGTCCTACAGACCCTCCAATGACCTGAAGCCTCCGTCGCTCTTGACGCTTGGCTTATCACTTGCGCCAAGTATGCGAGACCATGCCTCCGTGACCTGTGATGCGAACCTCAACCCAGGCCCGCCCCAATGCACCAGAAGAACGCTTGTCATTTATCATAGAGCAAATGTTGAACTCTGTAGCCTCACTCTCATGTCTTATAGAATGCGATAGCGCGGTCTCGCCCAACGCTGGTCTCTCTCGAGCCGAAACACTCAGTCTTTTCTCTCAGACAGCGGTGAGAGAGTTGTTGTAACCTTGCTATTTCCCAGCCGCTTGAGCTTTGCGAATGATAGGTTCACCAGGCGAATCCTTAGGCATGCTGAACAAACGAAAACCAAAACTTCTGCATACACGAACCCTCGATATCCGTCTATGTAACACCTGCCTGTCCATCCATATCGGTGTAGACCTTCTTGAAACTGTTGTGAACTGACTTTCCGCTCGCCACCACCGTTCAGCTTCCTTCGCTCACAGACAGTGGTCCACCAAAGGAGCATGAAAAGGCAGGTAGAAAAGCCTAATCAACATAACAGGCTCCACTTGTGCTGCCGCCAGCTGCCAAGTCGCTGGATCATGTCAAGTGATCCGGCGAAGCTCTCTGCACAAAAATCAACAAAAGCGGCCTTGGCAGAGAGATGCAAAGTGCTGACTGAGTTCGTGAGCGCGAATGTCAGGATTCGGCCCACCATTCATCCCGGGGGCCAAGGAGTTGACAACAAGTACCGAGCATGAAACATGAACATCTATTGCGTCATACCAAGCTCAGGTGCCCATAGGTCGTTCTGTTCTTTGTGTACTTCTTCCAGCGTAAGCTCACCTGCCATTGGCATTCAAGGTAGTTTGTTTCCCAGAGCCACGGATGCGAACACAAGGCCTGAGCTGTCGTCGTCCAAGAAACGGAAGACCAGGCACGGATCACCTGTTCAGGTATCGTTCAAATGGTGGTTGTTCCCATGCTGGCACATGGTGGCGCATGGCGGATTGCGGTGGCTGGCGGTGGCGACGAGGACGACTAGCTCCATCATCATCATCACCACCACGTATCGCCACCATCATTTCCAGCATCACCACAATCAGAATGCGCAGCAACAAACGTGATCTTAGCAGGTTTGTTTTAGGAGGAGCACAACTACAACTGGCGACAACGACGATGATCACTGTGACTGAGGAGCTGGTGAAGATGATCATAGGTCGGGCGAGGCGGGGAAGGGGCAAACTGAAGGGAATGTTCAGACAACCTCGGCCAAGCCCAAGTAAACCCGAAATGAAGAAGGCCGACACGCGGCCTAAGAATTTGACCTGTCGGCAGAGCCGCACGAATTGGAACCTCGGGAAGTCATGATGGGAGGGCAAATAAAAATCGTCAAGAACCTACCGCTAGCACCTCAACTCTCTTCGAACAGCTGCCCATGCTTGTGAGCTGTCCCGTTCTGCTTCAGCTATTATCCAGGCAGGGAGTCATAACCGCGCTCAGCGCCGGGCTCGTTGATGCGTCCATCGCCCTCGGCATCAAAGGCCTTGCGCCAAGCCCTCCTCAGAGCAGGCACTGCTCAAGGCAGAGCAGTGCAAACGCTCCGGGCAGGGGAGTTTTTTTAGGAACAAGCTGTGGGGGTGTTAGGAGTTTTTTTGCCTCCCGTCTGGCCAGGACGAGCCTACGATGTTAGGAGTTAGGGGGGGCGGGAATAGGTTTATAAGGGCTAGAATAGAACCCTGGTAGCCGGATGAGTTGACCCCTCTCGGCAGGGATTCGGAGTTTGTTTCTCGTTGTCGCTTTGTAAAACTTCAGAACAGCTGCACATGTCGTCGCCTTGTGGCGAGTAGGCGAAATTTCAAGGCGCATGCACAAACATCAATCCCACAACCGAAAACTTACGACAACAATCGCTCACGTATTCAGTGCAGTCGAACGGGAGGAATGAACTGCCAAAGATCATTGTCATTCTCACCACCACAACCGAAGATAAGAAGAAAGAAAGGAGCTTATCACCTTATGAATCTTATGCGTCACATGTTGAAACGCTCTTCCCTCGTCGGAGGTGCCGTGGTCGTCGCCGTCGTCGCTCGTCGGTCGTCGTCGTTTCTCCCTGCCAAAACTCGCAGAAACAGGTTCGTTCCTACAGAGTTACGTTCCGGCTTCGAGACTTGGCAAGGAGAGAGTTATGCCAGTTATGCTTCTCCTTGCCGACAACAACCGGCCGAGCAAGTTTCTGGCTTTGACATTGAAGTGCGAGTCAGTTTCTTCTCCTCCCGGAAACCACCCGGTCCCGACTTCAGCCGAACGAGCTGAGAGGGCCAGAAGACAAACCGCTCTTGTCGCTGCACACAGGCACGAGACAAGGACAGGACACGGCAGATGCTCTCTGCATCCAGGCTGCAGGACCGATCCTTATTCAAGGCCAGTTTGTCTGGGCCCTTCGGCGATTGGGAAACCGAGTCTCTTCGATCGAAGGCGAGTGGCCCTCCAAGCGAGTGAGAACTTTTCGCAGCATTCGTGCCTGCCGGCGGCCTTCGACAGCCTGCAAAATCGTCGGACAAGTGCTTGGCATGTCTACACTGGAAGACTTGCTGCCACTGCCATACACCTCATCGTGTTCGAATTCTTCGCCGTTGGAGGAGACTTCGCTCTCGGAGCCTGCAACTTCTAGTGAACAGCCTCAAATATGGCGTATCCCAAAGTCTTGGAGCACAGCCCCGCCTGCAGAGCTTTCGTCATCTGCCATGCCCAGCATCCTGGAAAGAAAGAAGAAAGAGGCTACCCTGCATGGAACGTGCGTCTGCACATGTTAACATGCGCAACTGAAACCATGGCCTTGCCCAGTCTGCCGGAGGCGCAGTGCACCCTGAGCAGCAGCTCTCGAATTTACAGAGCTCGCCTCGTCCTTTTCTTGTCTTTAACCGTGATCTGATGGCAGCCACAATCTAAACCACAGAGAAAGGCACCAGGGTACTAGCAAATTTGGTGGCCAGAGCTTTTTTGGTTGGGAGTTGCCGTGGTCCGAATTCTTGTTGGTTCCTGGGCAATGGTACTGCGTTTTGGTAGCTGCAAGTATGTGGTGGAAGCCGCTAACTTCATTACCCTGATCTGAGTTCTGCATGTTCCCGCCGGCACTGTATCTGATCCGACGTTAAGCGACTGTCCGAGGGCGGGAGGATGGGGGATGGCGGAGGTCAAGGCAACGCGAAAACTCGCAAGGTGGGCAGTGCAGCCACGACACGCTTGGCGGTGCTGCACCTGCCCTGCCTGCCCTGTCATCCTGAGCAGTCGAGACTTTGGCAACTGGCCATCTGTTTCACCGGGTGCAGAAGGCCTGGGCGCGCACATCTGCACATCCTCAAGCCCCTACAGCAATTGATCCGAAAGAGCGGCAGAAGATGAGACAGTCCAGAGTTGTGGACGTGCTCTGAATGCTGCAACCGTTACGGCAGGGCGTCAAATTTCTGATCTCCGGCTTCGCTTCGCTTGTGTCGCCGGTCTGAGCCGAGCCCTTCACGACAAGTCCTCCACAAACCCACAAACCAACCAAAACTCAACCTGGGCTCATTCGAAACGTCGGAGCGAAATTTCAGCACCAAGTGCACTGCAAAAACGACGAATGACGAAAGAACATCATGTGAAAATAACCGATCCCGGTGACATCCTGGCGGAAATTATTTACCGAAAACGCGAGGTTTGCAGACATCTCCTTGCACCTCACTGATCAACCCGTTCGCGGATTGTGCACCACGACCACTGCATTCCAGGCGGCTTCTTGCTGCGAGGGTCAGCAGACTCTGGGTCCAAGAAGTCCAGGGAGATGGGGCTTAGCTCGTCCTGACGCCGTTCGCGAGTTGCGGTGGCGCTGGAGATCAGCGTGGCTCGGGCGAACAAGTGCTCTTGCAAT